AATAAATGGTGCTGGAAAACTGGATAGCCACTTGTAGAAGGCTGAATCAGGATCCACACTTTTCACCTCTCACAAAAATCAACTCATGCTGGGTAACAGACTTAAACCTATATATGAAACTATAGAATCCTAGAGGAAAATATTGGAAATACTCACCTAGACATTGGCATAGGCAAAGAATTTATGAAGAAGATCCCAAAAACAATCACAGGAGCAACAAAAATAAATAAATAGGACCTGATCAAACTAAAAAACTTCTGCACAACCAAAGAAACAATCATGAAAGCAAACAGACAACCTACAGAATGGGAGACAATTTTCACATCCTACGCATCTGATAAGGGGCTAATAACTAGAATCTACTTAGAATTCATGAAAATCAGCAAGAAAAAAATCAAACAATCTCATTAAAAAGTATGCAAATGACATGAACAAACTTTTCAAAAGAAAACAGAATAATGGCTAACAAACATATGAAAAAATGCTCAACATCTCTAATCATCATGGAAATGCAAATCAAAACTGCAATGAGATATCATTTATCTCCAGCAAGAATGGCTTTTATCAAAAAGTCCCAAAGCAATAGATGTTGGGGTGGATGCAGAGAGATAGGGATACTCCTACACTGCTGGTGGGACTGTAAACTAGTTCACCCTCTGTGGAAAGCAATATGGAGATACCTTAAAGTGATACAAGTAGATCTACAATTTGATCCAGCAATCCGACTACTGGTCATCTACCCAAATGAACAAAGGGCAATCTATATTAAATACACCTGCACTCGAATGATTATAGCAGCACAATTCACAATTGCAAAGATGTGGAAACAACCCAAGTACCCATCAATTCATGAGTGGATTAATAAAATGTGGTATCTGTATACCATGGAGTGCTATTCAGCTTTAAGAAACAATGGTGATATAGCACAGCCTGTATTTTCCTGGATAGAGCTGGAACCCTTACCACTAAATGAAGTATCCCAAGCATGGAAAAATTAGCACCACATATATTCACCAGCAAATTGGCATTAACTGATCAGCACCTAAGTGGACACATAGAAATTACATTTATTTGATATTGGGCAGGTGGGAGGGGGGAAGGAGGGGACTGGTATATACATACATAATGATTGAGATGTACACTATCTGGGGAATGGTAACGCTTGAAGCTCAGACTTGCGGGGTGAGGGAGGGCAAGGGCATTATTTGAAACCTTAAAATTTGTACCCCCATAATATGTTGAAATAAAATAAAAACCAATGAAATATCATCTCATACATGTTAGAATTACTATTATGAAAATAAAAATATTAGTGGTGATGTGGAGAAAAAAATTATTCATATGCTGTTAGGAATGTAAATTAGTACAGTCATTATGGAAAACATGGAGATTTCTCAAAAACTAACAATAGAATTAACATATGATCCAACATTCCCACATCTTGGCACATGTCCAAAGAAAGTGAAATCAATTTGTCAAAGATATAGCTGCAGTATCATTTTTATTATGGCATTATCCATAATAACCAACATATGGGGCACCCTAAGTACACATGAATGGATGAATGGATAAAGAAATGTGGTGTATATATTTCATGGCATATTATTCAGCCATAAAAAAGAACAAAATTCTGTCATTTGAGACATGGTTGAACCTAGAGGACACTGTGCTAAATGAAATAGGTCATCCACAAAACGACAAATACTGCATAATGTCACTCATATGTGGAGTCAAACAAGGGAAACTCTATAGAAGTAAAGAAGCTAAATTTAATGCCTCTGCAAGCCAAGACTCTGACTAGGAAAGAGCTGGGCACTGAGAATTGGGTTCAAGACATCTGTGTGAATGGATTTCAGATTTTCCAGTTCTCCTGAACCCTTGAACTTGCAGGAGTGGCCCTCTCCCCTTGCTGGCTAGCCCCCTTTCTTTGCCTAGAGAGAACATAAAGAGGCCTCACCTAAGTCAGATGCTTCAAAGAAAGTAATTGCTTTTCTCAAGATCTATCCCACCTCACCTCATGGATTTCAGATTTCATTGCCAGAGGTAAGGCTCAGAATGGTGTGGCCCAAATGACTAGGGAAAATTGCCTCTGTCTGAGAGGAAAATCATTATCCACTAAAAGAGTTGTAGGACTTGGTTGAAATGTAACAGAACTGGGAAAACTTTAGAGGATATATATAAAGGGTAATGCTGCTGGGGAGTGGAATATAAATGCAGATAAGGATCAATTTACCAACACGGAAGAACCCCAGAGTCTCGGAAACTAGTTTACAGGCAAGAAAACAGGAGCTTCTACTAATGAACTATTAGGATGCCTCCTGGAATCTTGGGGGGAAAATAACAATAGTCAATACGTGCGGTAAAGATCCCATTACTGGCATGGCAGAGTACTGAGCAAGAGGCACAAGAGCTCAGATACATAGGGATGCCTGAAAAGCACTCACTACATAAGAATGAAGAAAGTATCAGTTGACTGTGTTCCCAGAATAGACCCAAAGGCCACTCCTTCACCTAAAGCCATAAGGAGGAGCATTGTTGAGAGAAGACTCCAGCTTGGTGAAAGGCTCAGCGGTTTGAGATGCTGCTATAGATCTAGGTTTCTTAGAGTCAATGGGGACAAAAGCATTCCAGATCACTTGAAACTATAATAAAAATTAATGCCATGACTAAAGACATAATAGATGCACTAGAAGTTCTCACTCTTTTCTCTCTATTTAATTCTGTATTCTGGCCCTTGCAGAAACCATACAGTTCCTGGAGAATAACTGTAGACTGCCTCAAGTTCAAGCTAGTGTTAGCCCCTATAGCCATGCTATACTGCAAGTGAGATCATTTATAACATCTTGGATACATAGTATACAGTCAGTGATTTGGGGAATGAATTATTTTCTATTCTGGCTACAGAAGAGGATCAACAGCAGTTTATATTTACATGAGATCAACAATAGTGTATTGATTTGCCATTTTGTCTCAAGGCTATGTTAACTTCCCTCCTTCATAATATAGATTCAACATGTCTGGCCACATAAACATCCCTCAAAACATCACACTGATTTATTAATTTGATAACATCCTACTGATAGAGCAGCGTCACAAGCAGTTGCTAGTGTGTTGGAGTCCTTGGTAAAATGCATGTGCTCCAGAGGGTGTGAGATTAATTGTTATGATTCAGGAACTTTGAACTTTGGGAAAGTTTTTACAGGTTCAATGCTAGGGACATACTTGAACACTCCTTTCAAAGTGAAACTCATAAAGAAATAGTATCTTGGTAGGCTTCTTAAATTTTGGAGGCAACATCATCCACAGCTAGGAATATTGCTTCAGCCCATACATCAAATGGCACAGAAGGCTGCCAGTGTCAAGTGAGATGCAGAGCAGGAAAGGGCTCTGCAGCAGATCCCAGGTAGAATATACAACCAGCTCTGTGTATTGGACTACATGACACAACAAACACCACAATATTAAAAGCTGTATCTGTAAGAAGAGAAGCAGCATCGAGGTTATTACAAGCCTCAGTAGGAAATCAACTCAGGTCCTGGAATTCTGGAGCAAGTTCATGACATTTGCAGCAAAGAATTTCATGGCATTTGAGTAACAGCTCCTGGTCTGTTTCTGGAACCTGATAAAAAGCGAGTGCTTGCACAAGTGGTGTGTCACGTGGCCATACATCCAGGCCTGCAAATAGTGAGCTGGGTCCACTCAGATCCACTAGTAAGTGAAATTAGACAGCAGAGCAGCAGTTTATCATAAGATGAAAAACGTACATCTGGATTGAACTTACGTAGAACCCAAGGGCATGAATAAGCCACAATTCAAATGTGTATAAATAAAAGCTTCTACCTCTAATGCCATTCTCATTAAAATAAGAAATGTTAACAGCTTGATGTGTATCCTTCATAGTTCTCCCTATGTTAATATACACATGCATATTTATGTATATTTTATGCATTATACGTGTTTTCACTTTTAAAATATGTGATCGGTGGTCACATTGATATGCAACTTGGTTTTTTTTCATTTAGCTGAGACTGTATACAATAGTTCTCCTTAGGTCAGTCTATCAATACATAATTTATTTTTATTAATTGCACAATATTTCACAGAATTAATATACCTTATTTTCTTTAATGATGGATATTGAAGTTAATTCCTTTAATTTTTTACCAATTCACATAGTGTAATATATGCGATCTCTACATATTGACATTTATATTTCTGTATTCTAGATTTCTAAAAGAGGGGTTTCTGGATCAACAACCATTCAACTTTATCATTTTAAATGGGAACTACCAAATTACTTTGTAGAAATAGAGCCATTCATACACTCAGCAGGAAACAATGAGTGTGCACATAGCCAAATAGTAACCTCACCATCATTGACAACTATTAACATTTCATCAGCTTTGAAACGCAGGGCATTGGCCATCTTATTTTTCTTCATTTACTTGCCCAATTATGATGTTGAAATTTTTTCTATATGCTACTGGCAATTTGCTTTCCCATTTTTGTGAACTGCCCACTTATTCCTTGACCCACTTACCTATTTTTTTTCTATTTGTTTGTTGATTTGGTGCTTTCTTATGAATATTGGGAATATTATCCCATTGCTTGGCACATGTGCACAAATATTTTCTCTCATTTCATTACTTACCTTTCAACATTGTGTTTAGTGTATTGATCTTTTATTACTTTTAGTTCTCATGTCTGGATTAAATACACCCAAGATTGTCCAAATATTCTCCTATGATTCCTTCTATAATAGTATGTTTTTCATTTATATGTTCATTCCATCTCTATATTATTTTGAAATCCCCATCATGTGACAGATAATAAGACTAAGGCAGAAAAATATTTAAGAACTCATCCACTTTTTAAAAATAATCTGTGAACTGGCAGAACTAGGACAGGATTCCCATGCAACCTCAAATTTCCATGCTAGTGTTCTTTTTACTGTATATTTAGCACCAACATCTATGCTACAACACAAATAGAATTCTATTTTACCTGCCTATTAGAAAATCTTTTCTTTCAAACTTTCTCCTGAATGCATCTTTTACCTCCTTGTTCCTCAAGCTGTAAATAAGGGGGTTCAACATGGGGATCACCACGGTATAAAATAGAGAAATAATTTTATTGATATCCAGGGAAGAACTTGAACTAGGTCGAACATAGATAAAGAAAAGAGTCCCATACAGTATGGAGACAGCTGCAAGGTGAGAAGAACAAGTGGAGAACGCTTTCCGCCTGCCATCAGCTGTCTGGACCTTCAAGATAGCCACCAAGATGTAAACATAGGAGACCATGATGATCAGACCGGTAAGCACTCCTATAGCTCCAGACAGGATGAAAAGCACCAACTTATTGATCCAGGTGTCTGCACATGCTAGGGAAAGCAATGGAGAAATATCACAAAAAAAGTGATTGATAATATTTGGACCACAAAAAGGTAAGCAAAAAGTGAAAATCGTATGAGTCATAGTGCTTATAGTAGCCATGGCATAAGGCCCTACCACCAGTTGCATACAGATCCTGTGAGACATAATGAGTGTATACAACAAGGGCTTACAGATGGCCACATACCGATCATATGCCATGGCAGCCAGGAGAAAACACTCAGTTGCCACAAAGAGACCAAAGAACCACATCTGTGCAGCACAACCCAGGAAAGTGATGCCTTTTTTCCCTGCAAAGATGTCACACAGCATCTTGGGGGCAATGGAAGAAGAGGAACAAATATCTACAAAGGACAAGTGGCTAAGAAAAAAGTACATAGGAGTGTGGAGTCTGGGATCAACCCATATGAGAGTGATCATCCCGAAGTTACCCACTAAGGTGATGAGATAAACTAAGAGAAACATGATGAAGAGGACAATCTGCTGATAGAAGTGTTCTGTGAGGCCCAAAAAGAGAAATTCAGTCACCACTGTCTGATTCTTATCTTCCATTGTTTTGTTATAATCTGTCACATGAAAGAAAAACAAATATTTTTATTAGGAAACAAAACCAAACCCTAACATCTACCACTACTTTTTTAAGCCAATGACAGATTATTTTAAACAGGTCTATAACAGACAACTGTGAAATATTGATGAATCGGGAGATAATATTCCTAGATACTGAATCCGAGTAGTTGTATGAAAACCATGTGTAAACATCAGGAATTTATGCTTGGCCCGTTTGGATTCTGTATACTCACCCATCAAGAATCATACAACTATATGATCAAAAACTCCCTTGGATTATAAAGTTATATATGAAATGAGTGTGACTCTTTGTGTTTCATGTTATTGTATAATGAGATAATAAAGCCTTCTTACGGATACCCTTAAAGGAATGATGTGAAAACCAATGAAATGTTCAGACCCTAACATTAAACATACAGGGAAAGGTTAAGGAGAGGAGTTCCTGTTCTTTATGAATGATTAGTAATATCCTAATGTTACTAAGACACAATTCACGTTTGTATGTATTAGTCTATTTCCTATTTCCCCTTATAAAAGGATCTGGAAAAAATAATATACACATTTGACTAAGAGGTGATTCATTGTAAAGATTAGTAGAAACCAAAGATAGGTGTTAATCCTCATAAAGATCTTCCCTTAAAAAAGACAGAATAGATTTACTCTATGACAGATGCAAAGTCAAAATAGGATTCAAGAACCAGAAATACAATATGATTCATTGAAAGCAAAGGTCAGGAAGCTAGAAATTTCTACCAACTACACAATTCCATTAAAGGAATATGACGCCATGGAAGAAATTGAGAGGTCTTGCTTTTGAGATCAAGAGATCTGGCAAATGTTACACAGCAATTTGTGACAGAAATTATAGAGAAAATTAAGCATTTGCTTGGCTAAAATAACATACAGTTATTTTTACATGTTATCCCATATTTTCTTTAAATTTCTTTTAAGGTATTTATCCTGAAGTCTATGAGGCAATATCAATTATGGTAATAATACATAAATGTCAAATGCATATTTCATACAGAGAAAACCCTCAAGAAAATATTATGTGTGTGACTCATTGGTAAAAGAAGAACAAATAAAACTGCTTAAAATTTTAGAACACTATTATGTAGGGTACCTTATATTAAAAAATCTGGTTTATACATCATCACTTTAATTAATGTCCTCTGAAAGCAAAATAAAAACAACATACAACTCTTGAGTAATGTATTAATTAATTTGTGAATTTCAATATATATTTTCAAATAGTTAATAACACTGACTACATCTATTTGATTTATGATTATTTTTTCATTATCATTATTATTTGTTTCATGCTATGTGTAGTGTATTTTCAGCAGTCACAAAGGCAATTCCAGGCTTATATTAAAAGCATTATTCATTTCAGGAATTTTTTTTAACTTCAACAAATCAGAAGTTCACTAGGATTCCATTTAAAAATGGACCATCAAGTGTTATTAGATTTATATTAATATATTCAGTAAAATATATTGAGCAATGTATTTCTTTTATTTAGTATGGGATTACAAGAACTAAGAAACGTTTTTGTGTATGCTCATTCAAACATGCCTGGATAGGTTTATTGCAATAAGGGCTAGTAATGACTTCTAGTTTTAGTCCAATCACTATTTATTACTTCATTTTATTTTGATTCATGTTGAGTCTTCTAGAAAATGAAAAGGCTGATCTTCATGCCTTTCGGATTCTAACTTTCTGTGATCTTAGAATTCTTCTTGGACATTACAGTATCTCTCTCTTTTTTATTTTACAGAATGATTAATTTTTAAGTGAAAAAATCATGTACTTCTCATATATTAATAGAACATGATGTTTTGAAATAAGTAAACATTGTGAAATTGCTAATTCAAGCTCACTAACTTATGCATAACTTCACATATTTGTTGTGTTTTGCTGTTGTTGTTATTGTGAGAGCACTTAAAATCTCTCTTAACAATTTTTGAGAATGCAGCACTTTATTATAAACAGTATAGTATTAGAAAAAATAGCAAATTAAATTGTTTATTCTCTTTAAGATGTGAACAAAATGCCTGTCTGCTCTCTTTACAGACCCTGAGGTGAGAGGTTATATTCCCACAATTCACACTAATCCTGATTTCACAAACTTCATATTTCACAAACTTCATGTTTATGTTTTCCAAAATGCAGTATACTCACTTTTAAGGGTATCCTTTATGTATATAATGGGAGAATGATCGTTTTCCAGAAGTAAAGATGAAAAATTCAGCTTCCTTCATGGTGATAAACTTTCCCAAGAACCATAACTTTCTAGGCACTTGGTGAAGAAGACAAATTTCCCATCTTGATAGCCTCGCAGTACAGAGGTACATTTTAATCTGCACGTTCATTCACATAGGCATAGACTAAGGGACATCTTCTTGGCAGTTTTCAGTAACTTAGAGTCAGTCCCCCAAAGTATTTAAACCTCAAGAGCTTCCACCTAAAGGGACAAAATTAAAATGATCTCAGAAGTATTTGGGCCAAGTATAATTTCCTAACTGTATTTTCTCTCAAAGAAAGAATTTCTGGGAAAACTCTGTGTGTGTGTGTGTGTGTGTGTGTGTGTGTGTGTGTGTGTGTGTGTGTGTGTGTGTGTGTTTTACCCTTTGGGATCCTCCATTCCAAAGGGAGTCCTTTCAAAATTAAATGAGGGAGTTCTCATTTTTAACTTCTATTAAGTATCTATCTCAGAAAGTTGTCAATAATGTAGTGTATTTGTTGAATTAGTTGAAAATAAACTCAAGATATTTTTAATTCATAAGGGTTTATGTTTAGCAATTAAAATTATGCTATATACTTTTGATTAAAAATATCAGGACAAAAGTATTTCTACCTGCTTTTCTTCTTAAACCCAATCAATCAAAACCCAATCAATGACTTCAGCACCCCTCAAAGATATGAGGTCCTAGTCCTGGGACGTGTAAATGCAACCTTATTTGCTAAATGAGTTTTTGCAGAGGTGATTAAATTAACAATCTGATAGAAAGACATTGTCCTACATTATCTGTGCAGGGTGTAAATGCAATCATAAATGTTCTTATTAGAGAGGTAGAGTAGATGACAAGGATAGGAAGGGAGGGAGGAAAAGAAGGGGGAGGGGGAGAAGAGAAGTGGAGAGAAGAAGGGAGAAGAAGAGAGAAGGAGAAAAAGATAGGAGAGGTCCATATGAAGACAGAAGCAAAGATTGGAAGGCACACACCAAGGATTAGTGGCAACGCTGGAAGAGGCAAGGAATGAATGACTCCCTGCTGTCTCCAGAGGCAGTGTGGATTTACAGCCCTCTAGATTTGGGCCCAGTTCCTGGTGATTTGTTACAGAAGCCACAGGACACTAATACAAAGAAGAAAAGTAAATAATAAAGATCACTATGGAAAACAATGAAATAGAAAACATAAAAATAAAAAATCAATGAAATCAAAAGCTGTTCTTTGAGATCAATAAAATCAATAAACTTCTCACCAGCTTGAACAGAAAAAAGTGAGAAGAGACAAATTACTAATAACAGCCAATGAAGAGGTGACAATATTATATGTTCCGCAAGTATTAAAAGGATGAAGAAATATTATAAAGAATGTTATGCCAATAAATTCAAAAACTTAAATCAAATAGATAAATTCCTCCAAAGACACTAACAAAGCTCAATCATGAAGCTATAAATAACTTGAATGGCCTTATATGCATGAAAGAAATTGAATTTCAATATAAAAATCTTCCTACAAAGAACATTTCGGTTGAGGCACCAAATGTTTAAAAAAGAAATAAAACCAGTACTGCATGTATTCTTCAAGAAAATTGATGAAAAGGAAATATTTATCAAATCACTGACTCTGATATGTAAACCACACCAATACATTACAGAAAATAGAAAACTACAGATAAGTGTCACTCATGAATAAAAACATAAATATTCATTACAAAATTTTAGCAAATTGAATCCAACAATACAACCAACACATGTATAGTCCAGGAATGCAGGTTTGCTATAACGTTTGAATTTTTAAAAATGTAACTCACCATATTAACAGAATAAATAAAGGAAACATGATTATTTCTATAGATGCAACAAAAGCATTGAAAATTCCAGCGTCCATCTCTGATAAAAACACTTATCAAAATAAGAGCAGAAGACAATTTTATCAACTTGATAAAGGAAATTTACAAACACGCAAAAAAACAAAAAACACCTACAGTTAACATCATACTTTACAGTGAAATACTGAATGATTTCTCCCAAAGATCTGGAACAAGACAAAGATATCTAGTATCATTATTTCTATTAAATATTATACTTGAGGATATAACAAGTGCAATAAGTCAAGAAAGCAAAATAAAAGACAACCATATGGGAAGAGTAAATTGTCTTTATTTACAGATTTTATAATATTTTATGCTGAATACCCTATGGATTCTATAAGCTACTAGAAGTAATAAATGAGTTACCAAGGTTACAGGGTACAAAAGTAATATACAAAATCTATTATATTTCTATATATACTAGCAACAAGAATCAAAACTGAAATTTAAAAATCAATACAATTTATAATAGCATGAAATATTTTCAATGCTTAGGAATACATCTGAAAAAAAATATTCAACATGTATACATTGAAAACTATAAAACATTGCTAACAGTAATTTTAAAAGCTATTGTATGGGTAGATATACCATGTCCATTAGCTGGAAGATTCAATATTGTTAACATGTCAAATTCATGTGTACACTCAATGCAATCCCAAATAAAATTCCAGAAATATTTTAATAGATATTTACTATTGATTCTAAAATTGGCATTGGAAGCAAAGGGACTAAATAGCTAGAACAATTTAAAAAAAAATAAGGTGGAGGAATTACTCTTTATTTACCTGTATTTCGGACTATTTTTTTAAATTTTTAATTGACAGATAATACTTGTAAATATTTTTTTTTTTTTTTTTTGAGACAGAGTCTCGCTTTGTTGC